ACATTTGGGGATAATTTTGTAGCAGAGGGCTGCTCGCCCGACTCTTGGAGCAACTTTCGGCACTTGATGTGGTGGCTAGGCTGCCGATGCTGAATTTTCTGTGCTTGGGAGATGCATGCGGAGAGCTGCTGAATGTGTAGTAACGGTTGATGATATAAATCCTGCATGACCCATAATAAGTAATATACTAAAGTTCCCAGAGTTTTTGGTCCTTAGGGTTATGCAGGATTTACATCATCAACCGAAGCACCCCACTGTCCAAGAGGCCTTGAGCCGACGCCTGGACCAGCGCCGGGCACAGACACGCCGGGTGCAGCTGCACCTTGACAATTGGGTGTAGGTTGAATTCAGCTTAGGATGCTTTTAGCTGCTTCGCTGCAGTCTGTGGTCGTTGGGGTTTAGGGTTTAGGGTTTAGGGTGGTCGTTGGTCTTCTTTTGTGATACCCAACTTCGATGTGTGGAATGATATGACTTACGTTTCATGTGCATCAGGCCCTTCAGCCTGGCAACCTCGCCTCCTTCTGTGTATCGCGCGTCCTCCCACTGCAGGTTGTGAAGGTACGTTGCCTCCCCAGCCTTTCAGGAGGTATCTTGAGACATAGGAGTTTTTCCCTAGTGAGGGCCTGAAATCCAGGTCGGACTTGCTAAGGCGGTCTTGCAACAACTTTTTAATTGGGCTCCCGGCACCACGAAGTGGCCGAGCCTTGTACACACAAGAGCTCTAGGGCAGGTTTTTCGCTTGAGCCGCAGATCTTTGGGAGGATTTTGCTTCTTGTGGTGCTGGCGTCACGAGAGCCGTCGGTCAAGATTCTGCGATTCTACGCAGTCTTTTGAAGTCAGGGTCTCGTCTACGAAAGGCACATGCGTATACGTACGTGTGTATCTTGTGTCGGTATGGGGGACTTCCCGGCCACATAGAATAATAGCATGTGGGAGCATACGTGACGACCAATGATAACCCTGCGTATCACCGACTCAAGCGTCAGTCCTAGAGCGAGCTACCTGAACCCTCAACCCCAGACCCAGGGGATAGGTAATATCACTGACTCAAGCGTCAGTCCTAGAGCCAGCTAATGGCTTCGCCGGGAGGCGGCTTTTAGAGCCGTCCCCCGTGGGTGCTGCAGGCATCCGGCTAACGACTATCTCTGTGCGCCTTGTGCCGCACACGCTTGCTGAGGAGTTCTGTCAACACAGAAACTGAACCCTGAACCCTCACCCCCAAAGGACAGTTCTCCCATCTCCCAAATCCCATCGTGGAGGGGGGTTTGTTTCGATGACTAGAAGAGTTTTTTGGCTAGGGAGATTCTCATAACGCATGCGCGTGCAACAGCCTCGCATCGGTCGTGGCCCGGAAAAAGCAGCTAGAGGGCAGCATGCTCGGGGTTAAAACAAACAGGTTGAAGGTTTGCCGTGAGGGTCGCAGTTGGCAAGACTGTTTGCCAGCGGCGCAAGGGGTGTTGGCTGACCCAAAGGAGGTGTACGAAGCAACGTGAGGCGAGGTCTAGTCAGGTAGGGTTCTGGCAGAGCAAAGCTTTGATCAGCGAGGCTAGGTAGTCCAGCATGGCATAGCCGAGCATGATATAGCAACATACCAAGCATAGCTTAGCATAGCAACGCATTTCCAGCCTTGAAGAGTGGGACAGCCCAGCAAAGGAACAAACTATCAGACAAATGTAAACCAGGAGTGGCGACGAGGTAGCGGGGGCGGTACAGGTTTTATTCACTGAGTCCGGGTGCCAGCAAGACGTAGATTTTACACTGTTGCCCATGCAGTGGACGGTTGCCTTGAGCATTTCTTTTTTGTGTAGGGAGAAGATTGCATGCCCAGCCTTGTAGTACGGGCCACTCGGAGGGTAAAGCAAAGTGCGATTATCAACCGGTTTTCAGTCCACCTGAACATCCAATGCCCCGGCAGCATTGGTATCAAGCCTTGCCTCTGGATGGGCAGTCGGCAAGCAGGGCTAAGACGCGAGAATGGCGGGCTCAGTACGACAGAAGCTGTTGCAGCGATAGTTTGAAACTTCGAGTTGCCTTAGATCTTGAGCAGCCTTGCACCGGGTCTTGTCCGGGGCGTTTTAAGATGCAGGTGGAGTTGTCTGTACTTGGGCTTGCAGGATAGGGCCGGAGGTGCAGTAATTAACTTTGCAGGATTTGTGTCCTGGTAGCAGGGGGGCACCATATCATAATCACAATCACAGTAGTAGAACATACCGCTCAACATACCCCTGCACCATAGTCTAAAGGCTAAAGCCCGCAGTGGTTGTTTGCTGTTGTCTACCGCTTGTGGTGCGGCTGGGGTGCGGCGCCTGACATGGCGAAGCCACGCCCGGACGGCGAGCGGAGGCCAAGTATCTCCTCTCAGCCGCTGAACACGGAGCCTCACTGGATAGGGTTTGGGGTTTACAGGGTTTAGGGCTTATAGGGTTCATAGGGTTTCGGGGTTTATAGGGTTTATAGGTTTAGGGTTTAGGGTTTAGTACTACGGTTGATGATATAAATGATAAAAATCCTGCATTACCCATCATACGGAATATACCATGCTTCCCATAGTTAAGGGTCCTTTAAGGTAATGCAGGATTCATATTTCATGAGCCGTAGTTTGGGTTTCGGCTTCATCACTTTCAGAGTCCTTGTTCCTTCGTTTTTGCCTCCCTCTTGTCGCACAAAAGCACCCGAAGCCTCAGAACCCTACTATAGGGGCCGCATAATAATTACCAATTCTATTTTGGGGGTTCCTTATTATCGTTATAGTATTACAATGGGCCCCAACACCCTATTCTAATTATCAAGGCCCCTATATCAAAATCCTTGTCTGGCTCATCGGGGCGTGAGTGTCCCTGCAGAAACCCTCGCCCAACTTACCCTGAACCCTCAGAAACCCTAAACCCTCAGACCCTCAAGCCGGTTGCAAACTTGACATGCCTAGCCTAGTGTCCACCGGCTGCGAACCGAGACATCGTCTGGCTTGTCCGAGTTGCGAAACCCGAAACCCCCAAACCCGGGACCACCGTAAACCCCGCTTGGATTGTCCGAGTTTGAGCGCCGAAACCCTTCAACGGTAGGTGTAGGCCCAGCATCCTGAACCCTAAACCCTAAACCTCAAACCCTCAAAAAAAAGATTTCAAATCCTAAACCCTAAACCTCAAACCCCCAACAAAAAAAGATTTCACATCCCAAACCCCAAACCTGGCCTGAGTTTCTCGAGTACCAATCACAAAAAAAAACCTTAAGCCCCAAAGCCCGAAACCCGAGATCCTATACTCCCTCAGCTAAGACCCTAACCCTTAAACCCCTAAACCTTAGACCCCTTAGGCCTTAAGCCCCTAGGCCCTTTAACCACTTCGAACCATATGCCTCGCCAGGATTGTCCGAGTGTGAGCGCCGAAACCCCTCAAACTCTAAATACCCCGAAGCCCCCGAACCCTAAACCCTGAGTCGCAATTAGCTGTCACGAGTACGGCTTTTTCGTCTGTTGCTTCGGAGTTATCCTGCAATGCGGGCGTCGTCCTTGCTAGGTAGGCGGGAAAAAATCCTTAAACCCTCAAACCCTAAAGACCCCTAAAGCCCTACAGCCCTAAACCCTTACACCCTAAAGACCCCTAAAGCCCTACAACCCTTACACCCTAAAGACCCTTAAAGCCCTACGTACAACCCTAAACCCTTACACCCTAAAGACCCCTGAAGCCCTACAACTTTAAAACCCTGAAGCCCTAAGACCCCTCCAAGGAGAGACGGGCTTCGGAGCGCCTGAGCCTAGTGCTGCGCTTTTTGACAGGGTCGGGTTTAGGGTTTAGGGGTTTGAGCCTGAAGCTTCGAGTGCCTGAGAGAGACAGAGAGAGAGAGGTAGCATTTTACAGCATTTTGCATTCTTATGGGTACTTAAACCCAATAAGGAATAAAATTTATGAAAATGTACGTTTTTAAAACCATAAACTGGCTTAGGGGCGGGAATTTGACATGACATAGGGGCCTCAAGAACTTCCAATACTGTTGTGGGGGTTCCCTATTATAATAAGGTATAACGGTATAATATACCCCAAAGTCCTATTCTGATTACTCAGGCCCTTATATTAGTTAGAATAGGGTTCTCTTAAGGGTTCCTTTTGAAAGGCCTTAGAGGAGTTCTTCTAAGCACTGGAAAAGGGTCCGTTGGAGGGCTCGTTTACAGGGTGATGATAAGGACTACTAAGTTTCAAGGATTAAATGAAAGGGGCCTTGATGTTAGAACATCGGTCTGGGGTATAATATACCCCATCTTACGGTTATCATCAGGAACAATGTTTTGAGTTCTGACGGAAATGTTGATGACGAGGGACGAGGATCTTGAATCCTAAGCCCTATTAAAACCCTTGTAGTAGCCCTTTGTAATCGGAAACCTTCAATTATCTCTAAGAAGTATCCCTTATTGAGCTAAGCCCCACCTGCCTTGAGCCCCCGCACCCAGCGCTTCGGTTGGCCAAAGCAACTCCCTGGCCTCAAACCCTTTTGGACATCTTTTCGTAGCTCTTTTAGTAACAGTTCTTCCTAGTAACCCTGATATCCCTTACCGGATGTCTGGAAAGACAGGTCAACCCGGGCCGGGGGTCAGCTTTGCAGCTTGAGGACGCCATTTCAGGCACTGTTTGAGAAGGATGTATCGGTGCATGGCGCATCGGCCACATGCATCGCGGCTCAAGGAGTAGGCAGGGGGAAGCGACGTCTTGAAGCCAACGAGAGGCCTTTGGCGGGATCATGTTTCAGTCAAAAACCCTTATCTGCTTATTTGCAAACCAGAGACACAAACATGAACAGCTTTGGAATCCCGAGATGCCAAAGACCCTGATGTCAAGACTTGTATAGTAACTTTGGTTCTGACCTTGCATCACACAACTGCCACGACGACTTAGGGGCTCATGTGAAGGGCATACTGCAGAAATCCAGCCTTCCACTCCTCGCCAGCCATGATCGATCCTGTAACATTTCTGGATGATGCAGTGTCGAGCCAGGCGCATCCCACAATCATGGAGGTCCCGCCTTTGAACCTGCCACAGGAGCTGCTGCACTTCATGCATCGGGATGAGATGAAGGAGCCGGCGAAGCCGGCAGATTTGCTCATCCCCCTGACGCCCCTGAACGAGGAGCACTACACCGAAGCTGCGCAGACGGAGCGTGCAGGGCACGGTCGGCCCAACCAAAAGGTCCGGCCTTTCCTGCAGAAACCTGCTCGCACGGCGAGACCTAGCATCGACAGATCTGCCAGGATTGCACAAGGTCATCGCCAAAGAGATGCCCGGCTCGCCGTATTAGGAGCTTCATTGAAGTTGAGAAACATAAGGGAACCCGGTCACTGTAGATCCCACATGATCAAAACTTGAAGAACCCAGGATATGTCTCCGATCACGGCTGCTCGAGAAGCTACAGCGAAGCAGGCCAAGCAGCGCTCCCGGCGTGGTCGTGGCAGCGACACGGAGCCGAAGCAGCTGCCTTTACATCGGGAGATTGATATGGGCTGGCGGGATCTGCTGGACGAGATCGCGACCTCTGGCCGGCGAGTGCGGCTGGCCAGAGGTGGCCAGACGACCATTTTACCACAATCTCAGGCAGTCAAAGAGACTGCGCGAGCTTATCTGCGCACGCCCTCCCCAGACGAGCTGCAGATCTTGCCAGATGTTGAGGAATCCAGGCCCCGATCGCGGACACGCTCGAACATGTCCCCAGCCCCAGAGGAATGCAGGCCCCGATCCAGGACGCGCTCAACCGTCTCTCCAGCCCCAGAGGAAGGCAGGGCACGATCGCGCACACGCTCGAACATGTCTCCAGCCCCAGAGGAATGCAGGCCGCGATCGCGAACGCGCTCCAACATCTCTCCAGCTCCAGAAGAGACACTTGAGGAAGCAGACCCTGTACTGCCGGACGATGTGCAGGACGATGGCCTGTGGCTTTCCTATCGGATCACGGAGGAAAAGGTGCCCACGGCAGTCCTGACGAAGCTCTGGAATTTGGCAGTGGATCCCCGGAAGGACGAGGACATCCCCCCAATGGAGCACGTGCCACGGCTCACCGTGGCAAAGCGGGAGGTTCCTCTCCCCACAGTGCACGACATCCCCCAGTGGCGCCGCACTAACCTGCGCCGCAGAGAGCAGCGGAAGCTGCGTCGAGAGGCAGAGCGGAACCCGACGCTGGATGAGATGCTGACAAGCATCTCCACCCCATAGTCACGCTGTTATGAATACGGTGGGGTGTAGAATAAGAGGTGCATAACAGAGAATAGCACTGTTCTACATTGTTATACCAATGTAGTGTCCGAATGTGTTTGAATTACAGTTGTGTTCAGAATCCGTTAGGACACAAGTAACAAACGACAGAGCCACAAAACTTGTGCAGTTCTTGAAATTGGCACCCTTTTAGGACCTTGTTTATAAAGCGCCGTGCTATTTTTGGCACTCCACAAGGGACCCTAATTTAGAGAACTACCCGTCGTCGTCGTCGTTGCTGTTGTTGATGATAATGGGCATGAGGATCAGGGTGGTGATGACGATGATGATGCCGATGATGGTGATGATGAGGGTGATATTGATGATGATGATGATGGTGATGCATTTCTAGGTCCTAGGTTCGGGGCTTGAACTTGTTAGATCAAAACTAAGGCATCTTCGGCGAACCGGAGATGGAGAAGCTGCTGACGGCAGAGAATCACGTCTACCAATTTCGAGCAGCTTCCCTGCTAGCTGCCGTGGCCGATGAGATGTCGTCGCCAAGCGTTGCTCGGGATCATGTCTTTTTGAATTTTGAGACGCGCTTTATACGGGCTTCCGAAGGAGTTCATCGGGTTGTACCATTGGTGTCTAAATGGGCTTCCGAACGAAGCTGGGGAATAAGCAGGTGTTTTCGCATGTGCTTATAGGTTAGGTACCCGAGACTGAACTAGACTTTGTGTGGAACAGGGTATAGAGCTTGGACGGGTGTGGCACGGTCCAAAGAGCCAGCCACGAAACAACTCAAGCAAGCTAATGTAGGAACCTGCTTAAGAAACCCTGGGCCTAGAACCCCAAAATAGTAGGATTCATAAAAGGAACCCTAATGAAGGCCCAAGGTTTCTTAATCAGCTTCCTACATTAGGCCCCGAGCCTCCAACCGACCACGCACCCAAAAACCTTGATTGCATGTCCGAGAGTGAGTGCCGAAACTTAAACTTCAAACCGAATCCCTAACCCTAAACTCCGAGTGTGAGCGCCGAAACCCTAAACTCTTGAGGCCATCCAGCTCCTGATGGACGAGTCTGGGTTCTTGTTTAGGGATTCAATATACCTTAATTCAAGTTACCATGACGGGGATCTATATTAAATAACTAGATGGTTTCGTTAGTACGGTAGTTAACTTGAACCTTGATTTCCTTGACCCTTAAACAACCCTTATAAAGGAAGCCCAAATTATGGTAACTTAAAGCAACTCCCTTAACCCTAGACCCCTAAACCCTAAACCCTTACACCCCTAAACCTCAAACCCCTAAACCCTAAACCCCTAAACCCTAAACCGTAAACCCCTAAACCCCAAACCCCTCCTTTAACAAGAGCCAAGGAGTTCTTGGACTCCCTTCCCGGCCACCAAAACCTGGAGCCCAAGCTTGTGGGGTCCTTGCGTCGCGGTCGCCGCGGGGCCTTCGACGAAGCTCAGGGGCACTTAGAAGAAATGTTTTAATCTTTGGGTTATTATAATCCCCAAGAAACAGCAGAGAATCACATGTTTTAATCTTTGGTTGCTATAACCCCTAAGAAACAGCTAAAACGCAATTTTTTATCTTTGGGTTATTATATTCCTTAAGAAACAGCTACAAATTATAGGCTAGAATTACGGTATTCGTTAGGGGTCTGAGTTCAGTAGAGGAAGGGCAGGCCTCTGCGAAGTTGGCGCTCTCCATCGCGGAGCAGCAACTGGCTTAGACGGTTTAGTTTAGGGTTTGGAGTTCTGTCTCTGGCCTTGTTCGGAGAACAGGATCCAGGCGGGATTCACACAAGCCTGTGCCAAAAGGGTTTAGGGTTTAGAGCTTGGGGCAGCAACTTTACTGCTCTTAGGAATTAGGCTTTCCTAGTTATAGTGAATTCAGGGGGATTGATGGGAATACTCTTTGTATTCTGGTTCTAAGGGCGGCTAAGGCAACTCACTGGGTTAAGGGTTTAGGGGGTTCAGGGTTAAGGTTTAAGGTTTAGGGCTTAGGGTATTATCATGTTCGCAGTGCTTCTACAGACCTTGCCTAGGGTTTCCGTACGGGTTGTCATAAGGATTACAAACCTTACTAATCTTGCGTTTGGGTTCCGACTAGTTTTCTGGTGTGAATTTCCTTTACTTCCCCCACACCACTCTGCAAGTAAGGCAAGCGAGGCTTGACAAGAATCTGGTTCGCAACAGAAGGCTGCGCCGGGGGGCGGAGCACGCGAGGGCCTGGAGATGGGATCTCCAGGCCGTCTCCTCGGCGGAGATGCTGCTGCTCCGGGAGAAGAAGCTTAGTAGCTGAGTGGATACACTTTACACTTTTTGGGATAATCTTACCCACTATCAAACTGGAAGGGTAAACTTTGTGGGGCTTCTCAGCAACTAAGGAAGGAAGAGGTTCGCATCAAGCTCATGAAGGAGGTGGAGAGGCGTGAGAAGGCCGCCGATGCTCACATGAAGGATGTGGTGAAGGCTTGCACGGCCGCCTACGAGAAGTGCGAGAAGCGGGCCGGTCGTTTCCATTCGGCCTTCGTGCGGAGACAAGGGAGCCTCAGTGATAGCTTGCAGAGGAGAGTGAAGCGAATCCAGTACGACCATACGGAGATCCAGCAGATGAAGGAACAATCCATTCTTCCCAGCGTCATTGGCCAACCACAATCGGAGTCCGACAAGGCCACCCACCTTTCTGTGCTCCATTACCTGAAGCCTCACCGAGTCCACGTGGAGAAGAAAAGGCAAGAGGCCCACTCCATCTACATGGCGCAGGTAGATAAGATCCAGCACTACCAGCGAGTCCTCGCCGACCCAAAGCGCGAGCCAGACAGGGGCGAAGTGTTCCTCAGCCGATGCTTTCGCTATGTGTTGGCTGCCGGGCTTGCCGTGGATGATGCGTACTTCTTCCGAGTCCTGTCGCAGATGCAGCCCGAGGATTTCGAAAAGGTTTACACCGTCAACTTCCTGGCGGCCTGCTGTGATGCTTTCAGCATCTCCACGCGGCAGTACTTTCAGTTTCTGGAGAATTCAGGCTTATCCTGCCTAGTGCCCATGCCCCAAGAGGGCAAAGCCCTCATCTACGACGACACGGCGGCTTGGGATCAGCTCTGCGTCGCCCCAGCTCAGCTGGATCCGGAGTCCTGGGCCACACCGCTGCCCCTCTACCCGGTCTTGCCCAAAGAGACGCCCAGGACCTCGGCTTGGGGGCCCTCTTGGTTTAGGCTTGTATTTCTAGGGTTTTAGGGTACTCAAAAAGGGGTGAAAAAACCCGGGAACCGAACTCCTAAAAGTCTAGGGCCTACACACCCTACAGCCGAAACCCGAAAGCCCTAGACCCTTGTGAAATTTCCCTGTCTTGAAGCGCCGTGTTGACATGTCCTCATGCGTGAATAGTTTTTGAGACAGTTCTGAACGCACCCTATTCGACAGACGTCTTGGGCTCAGACCAAAAAGTGCGCTCGTTGTGTGGTTGGACACTCACTAATCCAGTTCCTGCTTCAAACTGGTAGCGGAGCTGTGAGGACAACCACTAGTGTTTCACCCCCGTAGAGCCTGTGGTCCGGGGTCCGTTGGGTAGAGTAGTGATAGTCGCGGCGCAAAGGCCCCTTCTATCTGAAGCCATGAGCGTGGCAGGTTTGCGTTACCAGCCCAATCTCTGGTCACAGAACCTGAGCCCTGCAGAAACGAAAAGCGGTTCGTACATATACGACGGTACGGCTGCTGGCTTCCACGATTGGTGCTTCCGGACACAGATCCGTGTGCTGCAACATAAGGAGAAGCAGCGGCGTGAAGCTCTTAAGGACCTGCGATTTGCCGAGTCGGCAAGGGCCAAGAGCGAGTCACCAAGGAAGTGGCGTGGCAGGGCAAGTCAGGGGACCAGTGCATCGCCCACAGATGGTGATGGAAGCAGCGGTATACCCGCCAGTCCGTCCAGCGCAAAACGGACTAAGCCCGCGTCCGAGGCAGAAGATGAGGATGCGGAGTCGTTGCCGTCGCACCCCAGCCAAGTGGCGGGCGACGATGAGCAGGAGCCGGACACAGATCCGGCGGTGTACACCTTGCAAGACATTAAGGACGAGTCGCTTGATATGAGCGAATGCGTTAGCAAGATTTTGGAGGGTCTCCGAGGAGACGCCTTTTGCATTGCTCGCGACGTCGGCCTGGAACGTCTGCTTCGCCATGATGGCGTCGACTACCTGATAGAAGAAATCAGGAGGCAAGCTTTCCCTCTTCAATCTGAAGAGGCTTCCGAACTTTTCCGTCAGGGACAGCTCCTGACGGGCCCACTCGCAAAGCAACCCGGCGAGCCTATGTTGTCTTACATAGCCCGCCGAAAGCGGTGGTGGTCGACCTTGCGTGAGCTAGATCCTGATATCCGCCTTTCTGAAGCAATGAGGGCTAACCTCCTTGTTGAGCTTTCAGGGTTGGAAAGGAACGAACAGCTAATGGTCAAGACCGCCGCCCGCGTACACACCGTGGATGAGTACGCACGCGTCCTTGTTCAGCATCACTCAGTGGTGCACATGAAGGAACGTCTTCTTACCCAGAAGGACCCTAGTGGCCCAGGTAAGACCTGGAGACGTTTCGACGCTAAGCCACAATACCCTAAGTTTGGTTACATGGGGTATGATGGTAGTGCCGCAGAGTATGGTCACCAGGAACAGCAGGAATCCGCGGAAGGCTACGGTGACGGCTACGGCGAGGAAGCATACCAGGCCACAGCGTCTGGGGGAGATGATGCGGATGAATGGATTGATGATGAAGACCTAGCATTGCAACTCAACGCCTATACGGCAGTGGCATATGAAGCTGAGATTGACGATTTGGATGATTCCTATGCCGAGTCAGTTCAGCTTGCGTACGCGGCACAGACCGCCTTTGCCCAGGCGAAAGGAAAAGGAAAAGGGAAGAACAAGGGCAAGTCCTCCGGAAAATCCGGAGGGAAGGTCGTGCGTAGCAATTTGACTATTGCTGATCGTAAGGCCAAGTTGGCAGAGCTTAAGGCAAAGAGTAGGTGCCTGAAGTGCGGTGTGATCGGCCATTGGGCCGGAGATGCTGCCTGCAAGTTTAGCGGTAAGGGCAATGGCCCCAAGGGCACCACAACCCCAGCACAGTCTGGGGGAACTGCCAACGCAGCCGCAAAGCCGGCGGCGCCGAAGCCCCAGGCGTATTTCGCCGCAGTGGAGGAGGATGACACAGAGTGTGTCCACCTGTCGAATGCGAGCGCTGGTAGGCTCGAGGGTTACCCAGCCAACCTTGAGCTGACCCCCTCGAGGACCAATACCGGCAAAGGCCGCGGCAGTGAAACCCTCTTCTCACCGCAGCTTCGGCGCACAGCCGCCGCTAGGATCATGCGTGACAGCCCGCCTGAGGGTTCCGATCGCGTTTTCTCCTTTGGTCAGCATAAGGGTCTGACTTATGAGCGTGTCTTGTATACGTTTCCTGGATATGTTCTTTGGGGACGCACGCAGAAGTGCCCATCCATAAATTTGGCCGATTTCTTGGATTGGGTCACGGAGTACTTTGATGTGCGTGATGACAACCCCATTAGCATCACGAGAAGGGATGTCCCTCTCAGCCAGGAGCCCCCGCCTGAACCCTTTCAGCCCGAGGTTCGCCTCGCCGCGTCAGCTGCTTCGTCCAGCGAAGGCCCCCGGAAATGCCGGGGAGGTTGCAAGGAGTTCAACAAGTCGGGGAGTAACGCATACATAGACATGCGGACCTGTAAGAAATGCGGCACCGTCACCAAGACGAAGAAAGAGAAGCCTGTCATAGACCAGGCCACATGCCCCCACACCTCCACCGAGAGGTCGGGTAGCAGTAGGAAGACCTCCCGCATTAAGTGCAAGCTTTGTGGGATGCTTCTAGATGAGCAGCCGCAGACCGAGCGAAAGGCTAGGGATGACGCAGCCACAGTGCTGCGGGAGTCCAATACCCTGGACTTCGATCTTCTGCGCAGCATAGTCGGCAGCACGGGGGATAGCCTCCCCGTAGAGGTAGTAGTTCCGGCTATTGCCCAGTTTCAAGAGACCATAGAGGGTCACTTCGTAACCGAGCCCGTGATATCTCGCGGTGACCTTCTCGCATATCTGCAAGAGGCCTTAGATGATCACTCTGCGTCATCGACCAACAACAGTTGGGAAGTGGCGTCGGCGAGATCGCGCTCCTCGAGGGCCTCCGCGACGAGGCACGCCTTCGTGGCTTTCACTGAGGGGGTCACAGATATCCATCCGGCTTTGGTTGATTTGCCCGTAGTAAATATCTACGAGGATAAGCACGTATACGCCGTGTTGGATGAGGGCTGTAACTCGACTGTTCACGGTAGCGATTGGATAGCAAACGCGGCGGGGAAACTTGCGAACTTCGGTTACAGCACGAGGTTTAAACCTGAGGGCAATCGTACCTTCAAGGGTCTTAGCGGTGCTACCGAAACCCTGGGTAGCAGGACCATTCCTTTCTCTATAATGGGATTGGAGCAGGACTTGAGAGTTCCGGGCGTCCTTGATTCTCACGAGATTAAGGGTACAGCCCCTCTTCTTTTGTCCCTTTACGCCCAGGCCCAACTTGGTATAACCAAGGATCTTCGGTTTGGCGAGTGTGGTGTTCGACTTCCTTCTGAGGATAGCATCATTAGGATCAAGCTGTGTCGGACACATGACTCAGGGCTGTTATGCATAAACATAACAGAAGGTTTGGTTCAGGTGAAACAACCCCGTCTCATAAGAAGCTTCCAAATTCCCTCACCGCCAGTTCCTATATTTAGGTCTGCCGCCGCCGCCACCTTAGCTCACTCAGAGTCTGTGAGCACCCCTCGAGATGCAACAGCGGCAGATGACGCAGTGGCAACAAGTCGCAGTCACAGTACTGTAGATGCAGGCCATGGTCATAGCACTTTAGGCGTAGGCCACGGTCACAGCTTCACAACGACAGCTGAGAATCGCAACAACACTAAGCGACGTATAAGCGTAGCGTTCCCGAATCATTGTATGGTAGGCACGTCCGTAGGAGACACGGAGCCCGCCGCGATGGCCGCAGAGGAGGGGCAGCTGCCTAAGAAGGCGCCCCCGACGGCAAAGGCTGCACCGAAGATTTCAGCAGCGCCGGAGCCTGGCCACAGTGCCATGGCGACTTCGCCTGCGGTCGGCCACAGTGCCGTACCGGTGATCACGCCTGCCTTCCCCGCGCATGCGCCCAAGGCACCGCCTGGAGGAAGCGGCTTGCCAAAGAAGGCGCCTCCCACAGAGAAGGCAAGGCCTGGGGATAGCCCAGGGAACCCGCCGGCAGCTCGTGCCACAGTGCACCCGAAGGAGATCGCGCGAGGGCACCGCGAGCTTGCCGAGTTCGATGCGGTTGTGAAGAAGGATCCGCACAACAGGCCCCTGGTTATAATGGCAGGTGGTGGACCCCATGGTCCGGAGCTCGACACTCCTCTTCCAGCAACCGTGTATAATCCGGATTTGGCCTTGCTACCGTACTATGCGGGGGACACAGCGAACCCGGACATCATTATTGATGTTTTTACCTGGGGCTATGAGCACCATGCCTGGCTGCAACGCGTCAGAGGGAAGTGGACGGCGGCCGAGCTCTTCGCACAGCACGAAGAGATGGAAACGCATGCGCTCACGACGTATGCGAGTGCCACTAGCTATATGCTAGTGATGTTGGACATGGTGTGGCTCAGGGACGATCGGAAAGACGATCTGACGCCAGCAGAAGCCCAACAGCGCAACGACGAACAGCGCGACCGCACAAAGCATGTTGGGTCGAACCCCGATATAATTCGGGAGCACGCGGACCACCCCAACCTGATCGCCCACGTCAGGCACATCGTGGCGAACGTCCTTGACGCTAAGGACGCTGGGATTCGGTCCATTGCCGTGCATGTGGTTTGCAAAGCCAACAGACACAGATCTGTTGCGGCGGGCATCCTTGCCCATGCAACGCTTTTGGAGCTCGTGCCAGACTGCTCTGTCAGCCTCACTCACATGAGTGCAGCGAATAGTTGGCCCTTCATGGGCAGCAAGGCGTGCAAAGGACAGTGTCCCAAGTGTTTGCACCGCGCCCCTGGCATAGCCCAGGAGGTCCAGGAGCTCACGAGGTGCTTCGTCGACGCTGTCCGCACAGACGGACCAGAGGATAACGAGTGCATCCTTGTCGTGGAGCCGCAGTGTGCACGCCCCGATGATCAGCC